TTTGTTTGCTTGCTTGCTTTCATTCTCTCTCTTTTTTTTTTTTGAAACAGGGTTCAGGCAGTCTTTGAACTCACTGCATAGCCAAGCACAGCCTTGATTCTGAAGCAAGCACATGTAAATTACAGGTGTGCACCACCAAGCTCGCTAAAGCTACACACATTGATTTTTATCTTTCGTGTATATGATGTACATGATGTGTTTTTGTGGTGTGTGTGTGTGTGTGTGTGTGTGTGTGTGTGTGTGTGTGTGTCCTGCATATGCCATGGTCTGTATGTGGAAGTCAGACTTTCAGGAGTTGGTTCTTCTCATACTACCATGGCTTCCTTCCTTCCGGGGATAAAACTCACGTTATCAGGCTTTCAGGGTGTTTTTACCAGATGAGCCTTCACAGTCCCAAAGCAACTTTTCTTGACTGAATTCTCTATACCATGCTCTTAGGGTTTCTAGAACAAATAGACTAGTAAAATTTTAATAAAATGACCACTTCTCCCCACCCCCCCAGACAGGGTTTCTCTATGTGGCCTTGGCTATCCTGGAACTCACTCCGTAGACCAGGCTAGCCTCGAACTCATAGAGATCTGCCTACCTCTGCCCCCTGAGTGCTGAGATTAAAGGTGTGCACAACCACCACCACCACCACCACCACCACCACCACCACCACCGCTGCCAGGCCTAAAATAACCACCTCTATCCACTCTCAGCAACTAGATTTGCGTTTCCTGTCTCAGGGCTTCACGTCTTCTGTCTAGCTCCACCCCAGTGGTGCCAACTCCTTGCTCTTGTTCCCTATTTTGACTCCTTGACTGTTCCTGTGGCCCTAAATACTGGCCCCTGAGGCCGAGTCCTTCAGTTTCTAAACTACTACCACTGTCTGGTGTGAGGATCTCTGATCTTGCATTTCATTCTCTTGGCATCTGTCCAGTGTGGACCATTCACCTCACACTTCTGAGTCTGTTCCTTCATCTGTAAAATGGCTTGAGGGATATCTGCATCACAGAGTGCTATGAGAACTGGAGAAATACAGCAGTGGCAGGCAAGTGGAAGGTACCCAGGATCTGAAGGTTGTTACAACCAGACAACAAGCTACAGTCAGAACTCCTCCTAAGCCTTCTCTGACCTCAGTGGTCAATGACCCCCTCTAAGCACATTTCTGCTTGGTTTATGTAAGGGAAAGTAGATGAGTGTTCTTATAATGTGCTAGAGACTATAACTACTCTTCCATTTGTTCCTCTTAATAATCTGGACAGAAGAATCTGGTGAAATCCATCATACAGATAAAGAAATCGAGCAAAACAGGGGTGGTGGCACAGGCCTGTAATTTCCACAATAGAGAGGTAGAGGCAGGAGGATCGAGAGTTCAAAGATATCCTTAGCTACATGGCAGATTTAAAGGCAGCCATGACTCTGCCTCAAAAAGCAAAGAAGGGGGGATGTAAGTGACAAGATGGCAAGGTACTTGCTGTCAGACATGACCTCAGTCTTTATGGTGGAAGGAGATGACCAACTCCCATAAATTGTCTTCTGACCTCCACACACAAGACAGGCATTTGAATGCATGCATGCATGCATGCAGGCAGGCAGGCAAACACACACACACATGAATAAATAAATGTTAAATTTTTTTTTGTTTTTGTTTTTGTTTTTGTTTTATTTCGAGACAGGGTTTTTCTTCGTAGTCCTGGCTGTCCTGGAACTCACTCTGTAGGTCAGGCTGGCCTCGAATTCACAGAGATCTGCCTGCCTCTGCCTCCTGAGTGCTGGGATTAAAGGCGAGCACCACCACCACCCAGCTAATAAATGTTAACTTTTTTTTAAAAAGAATTAGAAATTGAATGAGCAATTGGGCCTCCAGTCTCTCCTCACCAGCAGGCACTCAGTGCTTCCTAACTTGGCATTTGTCCACTGTGCAAGTAGCTGCTGCTGTTGACATTTTCTGGTATCTCTTATTCCCCTGTGGATTTGCTTATATTTGGAAATACTCCAGACAGTCTTGTGCCTTAAATAGCATCATCAATGTCCAGTTTTAGCCACAGTTACCATTCAGTCTCCCTGTGCACACCCACATACCACACCCTTTCAAGCTGACTTAGTGTTCACAAAGATATTCCAGCACCCGGTAGCAGGGAGGCAGTGTATAAATGGGGGACAGATAAGAAGAGAATATAGAATGTGTCAAGAAAAAAAGCTCTAGGACAGGCACCAAAACTACACAGAGAAACCCTGTCTCGAAAAACCAAAAAGAAGGAGAAGGAGAAGCAGCAGCAGCTCTGTGGGACTGGAGAGATGGCTCAGCAGTTAAGAGCACTAGACGCTCTTCCAAAAGACTTGGGTTCAATTCCCAACACCCACATGGTGACTCATAACCATCTGTAACTCTGGTTCCAGTGAATTTGACACCCTCTTCTGGTCTTCTAGGGGACAAAGTATACATATGGTACATATACATACATGCAGGCAAAACATCCATCCACAAAATGAATAAGTAAAAAAGATTTCCTATAAGATTGCTTCATTGGTTTTCTGTCTCCCTCAAATTATAGCTGCATGGACTAATTTTTTCTTTTATTTTCTTTCGTTAAGACAGGGATTCACAGGGGGTGGGGGGGTGGAGATGGCTCAGTGGTTAAGAGCACTGGCTGCTCTTTCAGAGGTCCTGAGTTCAGTTCCCAGCAACCACATGGTGGCTCACAACCATCTGTAGTTAGATCTGGTGCCCTTTTCTGGCCTGCAGTCATTATGTGCTGTATACATAATAAATAAATAAATCTTGGGGGAAAAAAGACAGGGATTCACTTTTTTTTTAAAAGATTATTTATTATGTTATACTGTGTTCTGTCTGCACATACACATGCCCACCTGAAGAGGGCAGTAGATCTCATTATAGATGGTTGTGAGCCAACAAATGGTTTTGGGGAAGTGAACTCAGGACCTCTGGAAGCACAGCCAGTGCTCCTAACCTCTGAGCCATCTCTCCAGCTCCCAAGGTGGCCTCTTAATACCGGGATGACAGGCATGTACCATCACTCCAGATATCATATTCCCTTTTTTTTTTTTTTTAAGATTTTAATTATTGCCTGGCATGGTGGCACATGCCTTTAATCCCAGCACTCAGGAGGTAGAGACAGGCAGAACTCTGTGAGTTCAAGGCCAGCCTGGTCTACAAAGTGAGTTCTAGGACAGCCAGGGCTGTTACACAGAGAAAACCTGTCTCAAAGAAAAATTATTTTTATGTATATGTGTGTGTGTGGCTGAATGTATGTATGTGCACCATGTTTGTGCAGAAGCCCAAGGTGGTCAGAAGATGGCACTGGAACTGGAGTTGTAAGCATCATATGGGTGATGGGAACACAGCCCAGGTCCTCTGCAAGAACAGTAATCGTAAGGAAGTAATTGCTATTAACCACTGAGCCTCCACTTCAGCCCACACTGGTCCTGCTCACCTTTTATCTATTGTTTGGTAGGGTCTCACAGTTAGCACTGTCTGGCCTGGAACTTGTAGACCAAGCTGGCAGGAACTCATCGATATGTACTTACTTTTGCCTCCCCAGTGCTGGGATAAAAGGTTGGCAGCACAACAACTCTTCTTAAAACACAGAACTGACATGTCCCTTCTTTGCTGCTAATCAATTTAGTAACTCTCCCTAGCTTTTATGAGCAGGGGCAAATTAGTGTGGTGCTCAACAGCTTCCATAATCTGGTCATCCTCTACTCCAGCAATTAAATTTTAGACCCTAGCTTTATCCTCCTCTTCCATGAAACTTCGATCGTCTTTTCCTTATCTCTATACCTTATGACCATTTGCCTATCTTCCCACAGCTGTAATATTATATACGGTCTACCAAGCTTCCATTACGACTCTGACCACAAAGTAGCAAACGAATACTTGTCTGTTGCCCAGTCTAATGTCCCCCACCTTTCTGGGAGCTCCTAATTATTTTTTGAGATAGTTTCAATCTGTGGCCCAGACTAGTCTAGAACTCACTATAACCCTAGGCTGACCTCAAACTCACAGCAACCCTCCTCCTACCTCAGCCTCTCAAGTGCTTAGGAGCTAGTATAAGGAGACAACCCTCAATCGATTGCTTGCTCTTTCAGCCTAGTGCAGGGGCAGGAACAGAGTAAGGGTGCAGGAAATACTGGATGGATTTAACCGAAGCAGGTTTTAAAGAATGGGTGTGCTGAGACAGATCTAGGAGCACTTTAAGAATTCCGAGATAGGCCTTTTGAGAGCAATTGCTAGAGACTGGCATGAAGGGAGTATGGCTGGGGAAGGTTAAGAGGCGAGACATGGCCAATGCTCGAAGTCCAGGCCCAATCCTGGCCTTGCCTCACGGAAAGCTGTAGGAAAGCGAGCCAACCTAAGCTGGTGAGGAGTTTTGTTTTTCCATGATATCTTTGTCATCATCAAGATATCCTCCTTGGATGGTTTAAAAATCCACACTCTGGGGCTGAGGAGATGACTCCATAATTAAGAGCACTGGCTGCTCTTCCAGATGACCCAGAATCAATTTCAAACACCCACATGGTAGCTCACAACCATCTGTAATTCCAGCCCTAAGGGATCTGGGGCTCTCTTCTGGCCTCTACAGGCACTTCTTGCACATGGTGCACAGACATACATTTTAGACAAAACACTCATACACATAAAAAATAAAATCTCAAAAAAAAAAAAAAATGCCAGGCATGGTGGTGCATGTCATTAATTTCAGCTCTGCTTCCCTTAAAAAAAAAAAAAAAAAAGTCAGCCAAGCATGGTGGAGCACACCTTTAATCCCAGCACTTGGAAGTAGAGGCAGGCAGATCTATGAGTTCAAGACTACCTTGGTCTACAGAGTACGTTCCAAGACAGGCAGGGCTACACAAAGAAACCCTGTCTTGGGAAAAATAAAAACTCCAACCCTAGAGTCACCCATCTAATTCCAGTACCCAGAAAAACAGTAATAGAATCTTCATTGTTCTAAAGAACTTTGGCTCTTCTGTTGCTTCTAGAATGATGTCTCAGATTTCATCTGGATATGGTGAGTGCTTTCCTGATCCTACCTGTGCTTCCCCATTCACCTCATCTAGAATATTCTTGCCTTGCACTTTCATCTTAGTGAATTCCATTCTTCTGATAAAGGTATTTTTAATAAAATGACATTTTGTTAAATTAAGAATTCATGTGGCATGCCGGGCAGTGGTGGCGCATGCCTTTAATCCCAGCACTTGGGAGGCAGAGCCAGGCGGATCTCTGTGAGTTCGAGGCCAGCCTGGGCTACCAAGTGAGTTCCAGGAAAGGCGCAAAGCTACACAGAGAAACCCTGTTTCGAAAAACCAAAAAAAAAAAAAAAAAAAAAAAAAAAAAAAAATTCATGTGGCGATGTCTATGGAATCACTAAAATAATAATAGTATGAAAGAGTATAGGAAGAGAGGCCAGCATGGTCTCTATAGTGAATTCTAGCCTAGCTATACAATACAAGGAACCATGGAGTTGGCTTGGCCTAACTGCCTGGAGAGGCATTGTCATAGGTTTTTCAGGTTAGAGTCCATGGCTCCCAGTGCACAATGTGCCTTCCAGTTCCTGGAAGACTGATGCACTCTCTCAGGCAGTGAAGTGTTCAGGCAGCTTTGTGTTTCTCAGCATGTTCCTTTAGTAGTCAAGGCAGCATGAAGGCTTGACAGGACAAATTGGTCTTAGATGTTAATCTCATGAACCCTGGATAGCTTGCAAACTTCATTGTATTCTGGCAATTATAACTGTCTTGATCCTGGCAATTGCTGTTATATTCTGTTTCTGATAAAGGCATAAAAAGTCTGATTGTTCTCAATAAAATTGTTCAGCCTCAGTTGTGCTATGGCCCCTCCAACTGGCCTGATATAATTACTTGCAGCCATACAGGTGACCTTGCCCCTAAATAAGCACAGGCACTTTATAGGTGGGGCCAGGAGCAGGGACCTAAATATGGGGATTTAAGAAAGAAAGAAAAAAAAAAAAGGGAGGGGGCAAGGAACTCCTGGGAATAGGGTACACACCAGTATAAAAAGGCAAGAACATCCATTGAAGGTCAAAAGGGGCAAACAGAGCTGAAGGAGCAACCAAGTTACAGAGGGACACCACCAGCTGATGAAATCCTTGAAGTTCATTAGTCAACTTCAGCCTTCTTTCCCTGAAGAGGGATCTCTGCATCCCAGAACTTGGTTCTGGTTAGGAAGAGCAGTTCAGGGAGAATTACATGAAAGGGGACCAGAAAACAGTTCAGCTTTGGAAAGAAATACAAACAGTAATAGACAAAAATGATAGTTAATATTAAAAATGAAAGTGATCAGGAAAAAGCAGAATAACCCTGGGAACAGAAGAAAACTTAGAACCTGTCTCTCTGTGACGAGGTTGAGGGCATTCCTCCACCTTCTGTTGTTTTTGTTCCCCTACCCCATCTGCAATGGCCTCGGCTCCTAAAACCTTCCATCAAATACAGCTTTTCAAAATTATTTATTTTTTACGTGCATTGGTGTTTTTGCCTATATGTATGTCTGTGTGAGGGTGCTGGATCCACCGGAACTGGGGTTATAGACAGTTGTGAGCTGAGAATTGAATCTAGATCCTTTAGAAGAGCAGCCAGTGCTCTTGACCTCTGAGCCCTCTTTCCAGCCCTTAAGTACAGTTCTTGATAGTATCAAAACTTTTTTTTTCTGCTTTGCTTCATTTCTTTCTGAAGTTGTTAGGTTTCTCATCCTCCATAAGAATTAACTCCTTTTAAGTTACAGTACAGGTCTTCTAACCAAGAGACTTTGTATGGAGCCCAAGAGATGGGAGAAGACATGAAAGGATTTTCTCTTTTATTGGTGAGTGAAACATCCAATCCTAATAACTCAGGGCAAAGAGTTAAATATTATACACCATTTTATTTAAAATTCTCTCTCTCTCTCTCTCTCTCTCTCTCTCTCTCTGAGACAGGGTTTCTCTGTGTAGCTTTGGAGCCTATCCTGGAACTCACTTTCCAGACTAGGCTGGCCTTAAACTCACAGAGATCTGCCTGCCTCTGCCTCCCGAGTGCTGGAATTAAAGGAATGTGCCATCAACGCCTGGCTAAAGACTTATTTTTTTTTTAAAGATTTATTTATTTATTTTGTATACAGCATATATGACTGCAGGCCAGAAGAGGGCACCAGATCTCATTACAGATGGTTGTGAGCCACCATGTGGTTGCTGGGAATTGAACTCAGGACCTCTGGAAGAGCAGTCAGTGCTCTTAACCTCTGAGCCATCTCTCCAGCCCTAAAGACTTATTTTTATGTGCGTTGGTATTTTGCCCATATGTATGTCTGTGTGAGGGTGTCAGATCCCCTGGAAGTGGAGTTGCAGACAGTTGTGAGCTGCCATGTGGGTGCTGGGAATTGAACCTGGGTCCTCTGGGAGAACAGCCAGTGCTCTTAACCACTGAATTACTTTCCCAGCCCTGACTCTTAAGGATCTTAAGCAGGCTTGTGCTCAGTATGGACCAACTGCTCCTTTTATATTGTCTCTCTTTTATTCTACTTCTGGGGAAGCTTTTCTTCCTTCTGACTAGAGGATCTTAGCAAAAGTTGATCTTACTTTTTTATCTTACTAGGAGTAAATATTTATTGAGGAAGGCTGATTATTCAAAAAGATGTCAGGACCAAGCTATTAGAAATCAACAAAATAGGGCTGGAGAGATGGCTCAATGCTTAAGAGCACTGGCTGCTCTTCCAGAGGTCTTGAGTTCAATTTCCAGCAACCACATGGTGGCTCCTAATCATCTGTAATGAGATCTGGCACCCTCTTCTGGCATCCAGGCACAACACTGTATACATAATAAATAAATCTTAAAAAAAAAAAAAAAAAAAAAAAAAAAAGAGCCAGGTGGTGATGGCGCATGCGTGTAATCCCAGCACTCTGGAGGCAGAAGCAGGTGGATCTCTCTGTGAGTTGGGGCCAGCCTGGTCTACAGAGCTAGTTCCAGGACAGTCAGGGTGGTTACATAGAAAAACCCTGTTTCAAAAGACAAACGAACAAACAAATAGAAAAAGTAAAGAAAAAGAAATCAACAAATAATGTGCCCATAACTTGAAATGTCAACAGGAGAAGGCATGTATAGCGATGCTCAACAACAGTTTACATGTCCTCCTCAAGCTTATGGACAAATCAATGCTTTGACTTTATCGGCATGGCATAAGTTACTAAATTCTGGGAAAAAGACAGAGGAACTTTCTAAAATTAGATAGGAGCCTGATGAGCCATATCAAGATTTTGTTTATCATCTTTTTAGGGTCCTCAATCACCTAGAGGTTGATGGGGAGATGGGAATGATTAATGTTAAACAACTCGTATATGAAAATGTTAATGGCCAGACTGCCATCCATCTCTTAAGAAAGGGGATATTGGGTTGGGGATTTAGCTCAGTGGTAGAGTGCTTGTGCTCAGCACAAGGCCCAGGGTTTGATCCTCAATCCTTGGCTCAGAAAAAAAAAAAAGGGGGGGATATTAATGATTACATCCACCTCTATGATGATATACTAAAATGCCTTCATATGCTTAAGCGTTAACTCTGGCTGGCCCTCCAAGGGCAAATGATGCCTCAGCTATTGGCAGTTATTCAACAAGAAAAAAGAAATGCATAATGACAAATAGTCCAACTTTATGTCAAAAGTTTGTTGCTATTGCTTTTAAAAAAAGTTTTCTCTTGCTTCTATTATACATTATATGGATGGTATTTTGCTTTCTACTAAAAATAATAAACTGTTAAAGATTTGTTTACAACAATAAAAGTTGGATAAACCCTTTAATAACTCATTAAAAATTTAAAAAATTTATTAAATACTTCTGATGACTTAGCACTGACTTTTACTATTTTATACCCCTGCTGAATATTAAAAACTAACAATGCTTCACATACACTACCAAGCCTTTTCAGAAATTTTACCAACAGTTTGATACACCCCACATCACAGGCTTTCCTTATAACCCTCTTCTTTTGGAAAGAACTAATGGACAGCTTAAATGTTATTTAAAAATAGGGGGGGGGGAGAATAATATGGCTATTCCTCACAATATTTTATATATTAAACTTTAAAATTTTTAATTTGGGCAAGGATGGCCTTACTGCTGCAGAATGTGTGGGGGCCCCTCTGAAAAAAATCAAGGTCAAGGTCCTTTGGAGAGATGTTATGTCAGGTCAATGGAATGGCCTGATCCAGCAATTCACAGGAGCTGAGGCTAAGTTTGTGTGTTTTCCTTCAGGGTGCTGAAAAGTCAGTGTGGATACCTGAAAAACTGATTCAACCTGTGGAAGACAGACAAAGAACTTCCCAAGTGTCTACAGGGGCTACAGCTAAAGAAAAGGAAGAGAACAGGGCAATGGAATTGTCGAACCAAAGAGAACAGAGTCTGTCCACCAACCATGACTCAGATGAAGGGACTGGTGACTGAGGGAACAGACTTGGTGAGATCGTGGGGAAGGGTGTGACTGCAGAACTGCTGTTCCTTGCTGTGCTGCCTCTGCTGACCACATCTGTTACGCTGAGACATATTGGGTGTGTGTACCTGAGATCCTCCTGTGCTTCACTTGTTAACTGGGAAGAGAACAACATGCCTGTTTATGTCAATGACTCTGAGATCTTGGGTGCCCCCCCCCAATGCTAATCATATTGTTCCCCAAGCAGAGATGGTCACATGATAATTTAAGTATTGCTGTTCAGGCCTTGCATGATAAAATATTAACCATTCAACATTCAAAATTAGATGAATTACCCTCCTCCATTGCTGCACAAAACCTGACCAAGATTCTTGGTCATTATTTTTATGTCTCTAATTGGACTTCTAAACTATGGCTCATAGGAATGTCCCTGGGAAGTTTTTTGCTGATTTGACTTGGAAGCATTATAGTCTTGAGATTGATTTGCTACTCCATGTGTGCTTTAAATATTGATTTACACCGGGCAGTGTTGGCACACGCCTTTAGTCCCAGCACTCAGGAGGCAGAGACAGGTGGCTCTCTGTGAGTTTGAGGCCAGCCTGGTCTACAGAGTGAGATCAGGACAGGCACCAAAACTACACAGAGAAACCCTGTTTCAAAAAATCAAAAAAATAAAAATAAATAAATAAATAAATAAAAATAAAAAAATAAATACATTGATTTATATACCCTGAAATTAAAAAATAAAAAAGGGGGAATTGCAGGGAACCATGGAGTAGGCTTGGCCTAGCTGCCTTGAGAGATTTTCAGTTTAGAGTCCATGGCTCCTGGGGCACAATGTACCTTCCAATTCCTGACAGGCAGTGAAGCTTTCAGGCCACTTTGTGTTTCTCAGGTGGCCTGGTCCAGGAAGTAGGCATGGACACTTATATTATCCTACATAGTGAGAAAAAAAACTAAATTTTTTTAGATTTATTTATTTTTATTTTGTTACTTTGTTATACCTGTTAGCAGGTATTTTGCCTGCTTTATGCATGTGTATCATGTTCATGTCCACAGAGGTCAGAAGAGGGTGTCAGGTTCCTTGGAACTAGAGTTAACAGACAACTGTGGCCTGTCATCATGAAGGTGCTGGGAACTGAACCTAGACTCCCGGCAAAAGCAACAAGCACTCTTAACTACTGAACCATCTTTCTGACCCTAAAATTAAAAAAAAAAAAATTAGAACTGGCAAAATGGCTTATCAGGTAAAAACACTTGCCATGCTAGCCTGATGCCCTGAGTTCAGAGGTTCAGAGCCCCAGAACTCTTTTTTTTTTTTTTTTTTGGTTTTTTGGTTTTTTTTTGAGACAGGATTTCTCTAAATAACAGTTCTGGCTGTCCTGGAACTCACTTTGTAGATCAGGCTGGCTTCGAACTCACCAAGATCCACCTGCCTCTGCCTCCCAAGTGCTGGAATTAAAGGTGTGTACCACCACCACCCAACGGCAAGAGTAGACTCTTGCAAGTTGGCCTCTGTGTGCCATGGCATGCATATGCCTACACACATACACAAAATAATAATAGTATTAAAAATGATACAACTGGGACTGGAGAAATAAATAGCTCAGTGGTTAAGAGCACATACTGTTCTTACAGACTAAGTTCAGCCTTCAAAACCAGTGTAGAGTGGCTCACAAGCACCTGTAACACTCACACAGACATAGCATTCACTCACACAGACCATTTTTATTGGTTTGTTTGTCTTCGAGACAGGGTTCCTCTGTGTAGCCCTGGCTGTCCTGAAACTCTCTCTGTAGGCCAGGCTGGCCTCCTACTCAGAGATCCACCTGTCTCTGTCTCTTGAGTGCAAATACATATTTTTTTTTAAAATGATTAAAAATCAATACATAAAATTATAAATAAATCTCAAGAACACACACACACACACACACACACACACACACACATATATAAAGCATTTGATGTATGATGGGGAGGAGTTAAATACAGAGTTACCACATATTATACCTAGGTATAAACACAAGAGAATTGGAAACATGTCTACAAAAAGTTCAAACACAAATGTTCATAGCAGCATTATCCATAATAGCTAAAACATGGAAACCCAAATATCCATAAACTGATTCATAAGCAGACGATGATATATCTGTACAACAGAACATTATTGTTGTTGTTGTTGTTGTTGTTTTGAGACAGGGTTTCTCTGTGTAGCTTTGGAGTCTGTCCTGGAACTCACTTTATAGACTAGGCTGGCCTCAACTCACAGAGATCCACCTGCCTCTGCCTCCCGAGTGCTGGGATTAAAGGCATGTACCACTGCCCAGCTTTTTTTTTTTTTTTTTTT